TAAATAAACTCTATAAAATGTGATCTCAAGCAAGACGCTATTAAGACAGACTGTTGCTGTCAGACTCCTGGTTGGTGTAACTTCCTAATGTAACTTCTATTTCTTTAACCCTGTAATTCAGAGGTAGTGGATTGGGCTTTGTGTTCCAGGGCATGAACTCTTATGAGGGCTAACAGTGTGATGTTGCTTTATAGAACGGGGAAAAAAAGCACAGATTGATTAACTAGTTGCTTAAGAGTTCCCAAATTATGCACCCAATCACCAAACTAAATTATTTGGATTCGAAATTAAACACTTGAATATTTTAGTGTCACAATAATCTTTTTCTGTCTCTCACTCTCCCTCCCTCCCTCCCTCCCTCCCTCCTTCCTTCCTTCCTTCCTCTTTCATTGGTAGGTGGGTGCAAACCACAGATTTCTTTTCTTTTCTGTCTGATGTTCACTTAAGACGGTTAGAATGAAAACAGTAAGCAACCCACCTAAAAAAAAAGAAGACTGAAAGAAAGGAAATATCTCAAAAGGTTAATTGTCAGATGCATTCTCCTTAAAATAAGAATTAAAAATATTAGCTATTAACTGCCTATTTGTACATATATTCCTTCATATAATTTAACTATAACATGTCATATTGCAATCATTTGGGGGATTTTATATGTGATATATACTCACAAATAAACAAACAGCAGTATGTATATATTAAACTAACATGATCACATGGCTTATATATATGTTTATTATAGACCTACATGTGTATATATGTATATGTAAACATTACCTGTTATACGACATATATATATATATTTCTTGTAAACTTTATATGTGTGCATGTACACATATGTATACATACACATATAGACATATATTGGTATACAGAAAACATCACATTAGATTATTCTTTATCTCTGTATTATTTGATATATTATAGTTCAATTATATGAATGAATATATGTACAAATACATATATAAACCCCAAAAGCCAAACTCACTGCCAAAATTGACTCAGTGACTACCTGTGGTTTTGGAGACCGTAAATGTTTACAGGAGTAGAAAGCCCAGTCTTTCTCCCCCATGAAGCTGCTGGTAGGTTCGAACTGCCAACCATGAGGTTAGCAGCCCAATGAATAACCACTACATCACCAGGGAACCTCCATACATATATATACATACATAAATACATACATGTTTTAGGTTATTTGTTGTTGTTGTGTTTTTAAAAAGCCCTAATGGTACAACGATTAAGTTCTTAACTCAAAAGACTAAAGTGTCCAACCTACCCAGTGCTTCTATGGGAACAGTGGGTGGGGATGTGCTTCCACAGGGATTCCAGCTTAGGGCATGCTACTGGGCACCCCTGTCACATAGGCTCCCTACAGTCCACAATAATGACTCTACAGAGCATAATAATAACAAGTATTTAAAGGGAACTTCAAAAATTTTGTCGAAAAATTCCATTATCTTTTCATTCCATTTCCCATGAACTTTTTGAAGGTCCCTTTTATATAACCTTTTTCCTCACAAATATTTCTCATTAATGAAATTACTCAGAAATCAATTCTGGAAAGCATTCATGATGGAAAATATTATGGGGAAATCATGCACAAAGCTAAAAAATAGTCTATAACTTCAATCATAAGTAACTATTTAATAAGAGTAGTTCTTAGAAAATCAATTTCCACATAGCATCCCATGCATACAATTATCTCTGCCCAGATTTATCCCACTTCCAAGTAGTGTGAACATAGGGTTAATGTCATGGAATGGACATTAACTCTATCACAATGATAGAGTTGAATAAATATATCAATCCAAGAGATGCTCATCTTTTGTGTGTAATGAGCTTGCTTATTAATAATCCCTTCACAAACATACCTATACACAAGGGAGTTTGGGGATTAAAACTTAATTTAAAACTTGGTTAAGAAATGTCTTGCACTCTTCAGAGAAAGGTCAAAAGTAAATCTCCAAGGAAATGATCAGAAGTCAATCAAGGCTATGTTTTTTATATTTCCCTCTAGAGAATAGAAAATGGAATTATTTTATGATAAGAAAATATTACAGTCTCAATTAGTTTTTGTAAAATATTTTTGCTAATTAAGAAGTTTACTTTTTTTCCCTTTCTTTTTATTAAATTCCTTTCCAATCCAGATGTGCTATGATGCTGTTTTCTTGGAGAAACAGAGGCATGGCTGTTGAGCCAGTTTCACAAGAGGTCCCCAAATCTTAACAAGGCCAATGCTAAGTCATTTGGATTCCAGAGTGAACAATGGATATATTAAACAAGCAACACAGTCACCTTTCTTTCTGCCTTCCTTCTCTTTTGTATCCATAGGTGCCCCAGTTCTGACAGGTGGAGCTAAATTAATTCCAGAATAAACTCACTATGTATATGTGCATGTCTTTAAAACAATTTCTTCAAATATTAGGCTAAGAACTATACAACACACACACACACACACACACACACACACACTCACACATAATTAGTGTGGCTAATTGCCTCCTTGGACCATGCTTCCTTTGCCAGGCCTAAGAACTAGATAGTGTTTTGCTATCATACACATTTATGTAGTAGAAAGACTTGTAAAATCTACATTTGAATTGTATATGTGAATGCTCAAAACATTGCTCTCAAGAAATAACCATAACATGATTTCAATATTATGATAGTCATTGTAATACTTCCATACCTAAAGTGGGAAACCATTTAAATGCGTTATGCTATTACAGTACTTGTTTCCATAGCAACTGCTTCACTTCACTGTGTTAGTAATGATACACACACAGCACTGGAGGGGATCTTGGAAAGCATGTAATAAGATGCTCCTATTGTTCAATTAAGAAATTAAAGTCCAGTATTTTAGGCTCTCTTTGACTTCCCCACAGTCAGAATCGCAGCATCAGAGCAAGAAGTAAAAGGTGGGTCTTCTAATCTCCATTCCACGACTGTCTCAATTGTACTAAACTATCTCCCACTGTTTTAAATGAATTAACACTAAAATTAAACAAGCATATGCAGACTAACACACTGCATATATACACTAATGCATAAATATTAAAATATCAAACTGATTTTTATTATGGTCAGGTCTTTTATGAGTCACCCATGCGTTCTATGAATTTGGGGGATTCCAAACAAAAATGCTGCTGTCACGCCCTATTGCTGTGCTGGCACCACAAGGACTGGATGATGTTTGGCTGTAAGTACAGGATATCAAAGAGAGTTCTTCAAAAAGAAAAGCCTCATCAATGATATTGTCTTCTTAATGTCTCAAGGCACTATATGGAAACTTTTATTAATTTTTCTGAAGATATCAACTTCAGGAATTTATAAATAAACAATTTTAATGATGTGAAGAAAGTCTTTAACTGACAACTCATTTTCTGCTTTCAATTTGCTAAGCACATGCTAAAGACTAAAGCAAAGCACTGCAAGGAAAAATAATTTTCCTAATTAATCAGAAATTTATTTATGAATAGCGATTTTAGAGTCTAGACCTGTATTATCCAAGAGAGCATCTGGGAGCATCATTTTAAATGTGGCAGCTTGAGTTGCAATGCGCTGTTATGTGTAAAATTCATAGCAGATTTTGAAGACAGTGCAAGAAAATCAAAAGAATTTATAAAATATGTCAATAATTTTATAATGGTTAGACCTTGAGATGATAATAGGTATAGACATCATTAAATATATTATTGACATTAACACTACTGGATTCTTTTTCTCATAGTGATTCTATAGGTAGTAATTTGGAGTTTGGAGAATTCTTTTTACTTTTTACAAAAATCATTTGTTTACCTTTTGCTGTTATTTTTGAGGATATGGACATCAAAATGACTCAAACTCAACGGTTGGTGCATATATAATTCAGTGACCTTGATGAGGTTCTTCAGTGCATGCAACCAGTCTCACTTTCCTTTTCCAAATTACTCCACTCTATTAACATAAACTCGCTGCATCATCCACCCTTAAGTTTTTCATCCACCCTTTTGAATTGCTGTTGTCAGCCAATCCCACGAGATGAGATAGATCTTAAAAGAGCATACTGCTTGCTCCAGGTAGACATGCCTTCCTGGTTAAGCTAAATGATTGTTTTGTTTAAAGACCTCAGGGGACATTTGGGTTGAGGGTTTTCATTCATATGAGCAATCGCTCCACAAAGTCGCAGTCCCAGGAGTCTTCGAAAGCTCATTTTACATTTGTCCCTTTTGATGCTTTCATGAAACACCCCAGCTAAGTGACCTAATGATGTGTCTGATCCTTCTGTTTTACCTCGTAGTTCATTATGAGGTCTGAAAAGGACAGGTCTTAAAAGCTTGCAAGGGGCCATTTCAGACAGCCACCTGGAGCAGTGTAGGAAGCCTGAGTCAGAAAAAGGAGGAAATAGAATTGTGGCTAATTGCTTCCTTGAACCAGTGTCTCTTTTGCCACACCTAAGAACTAGATAGTGTTTCGCTGTCCTTTCTGAATATTTGGATAAAAAAAGTTTTTTCACTTTTAACATTGGCTAAACCCAAACTTGCAATGACAGACTTGGCTCATATTCATGGCTCCCCTTATATTTCTATTGCTCAGCAGTGATCTAGACCACTTACTTGCCATGTCTCCTGTTGCATTTCCCAGTTTCCTCAAGTCTAGAATCGTTCCTACTTTTTCCAACTTGACCTTCTCCTTGAACTCTTTTCAACTTCTCCCATCAGAAAATGATCTCTTTTTTTTTTCTTAACTTCAATCACATCTTCCTGCTCATATCACCCATTCTTTTCAACCAGCATTGCGAGAATAGAAGTTTAATGGGGAGTCAAATTCATGTTTTTTTTTTACGTTTGTAACCTGAACAATCATGGTGCTATTGTAAAGCAATGGCAAAATTTTATTTGACAAATAGGTAAACAAATTTAACAACAGTAGATATTTTCTTAGTTCACTCTTGTTCAGATAAAATCTTTTGAAACAACTGAATACTCTGAAGTACATTTATGATGTAGAAATAGGACACATACCAGTTGGCTCTCAGATATTGCAGAAGATGGTGAGGAGAGATTTGCCTGTAAAATACAAACATAATGTCCAATAAGTGAAAACAATACTGAGTAAAACCACACCCCTGTTTTCAAGTAAGGACCCCTGGTTGCACAGTGATTAACGTGCTCTGTTGTGATCCAAAAGCTCAGCAGTTTGAATCCACCGGGAGCTTCAATGGAGAAAGGTGGCACCACTTGGTTCTGTAATTATTTACAGTCTCAGAAACCCTGTGGGGCAAGTCTACACTCAAGATGTTATAAATGGGAATTGACAACACAGCAATGGGTGGATTCTTTCATTATTCTTGTTAGTTTATTAATCTCAAGTAGAGATTTTTAAACATACAGAACATGACAAAGTAAAGGTAAGCATATCGCTATGCCAGCTACAAAAATGACTTTGAAATTCGGGGGGATATTGCCTTACAATGTATTTCCTGTTCTGAGGGGTTGTCAAGTTTGTGTGTGACTTGGAGCGGTCTTTGTACAACAGAACAGAAGAATGCCCCGTTCTAGCGCCTCTCACAAGTGTTGCTATGTGAAAACCCACGCTTGGAGTCCTGTGTCCAGTCATCACCGGAGGGTCCCCTTTCTCTTCTTCGATGCTGACCCTTGACTTGATGCAGCATGATGTCCTTCCACAGGACTGCTGATCTCTCTTCATAACATGTCCGAAGTACGCAGATAGTTTGTCATCTGCATTCCAAGGCGGATTCTTTTTAAACTTCTTCTGAGCCAGATATAGTTATTCTTATGTCCACCCGTGACATATTCAATACTCTTTTCCAACACCATAATTCAAAGGCATCGACTCTCTTTCAACCTTCTTTCTTTATTGCCCAACTTTGACATGCGTGTGAGGTATTTGGGAGTCCCATCCCTTGGAACAGGCCCATCTTAGTTCTCAAAGTGACATCATTGCTCTTTTGTATTTATTTATTTATTTTGGGGGGGGGATTTTACTGCTAATTTTCTTTTCAGTTTTTCCAACATAATGTTTGCGTTGCTTGACTGCTGCTCCTACAGATATTGATTGTGGATGCAAATAAAATTAAATCCTGGATGACTTCAAATTCTCCCTGCCTGTCTTGACAGGTCTAATTGGTTCCAAGGATTTTTGTTTTCTTTATAGTGAGGTATAGTCCATGTTGAAGGAGATAGTCTTTGATCTTCATCGGTAAGTGCTCTTGGTTTTCAGCAGGCACTGTTGTGGAACCTCCATACCAGAGGCTGGAAGTCACCCTTCCTCCACCCTAATGCTCCACGATAATTCCTCCACTATAAGAATTCAGCTTTTCACAAGATAGACTCTGCATACAGATGAAATAAGTTTGGTAAAAGATAGAATCTTGACACACCCATTTTCTGATTTTAAACCATGCAGCATTCAGTTATATTCAAATGACCGCCTCTTGGTCTACGTACAGATTCTGCATGAGCACAAGTAATTGTCCTGCAATCCTCATACTTCATAATGTTATCCATAGTTTGTTATAATTTGCACAAGTAAATCCCTTTGCACAGTCAATAAACTATAAGTAAGTATCTTTCTAGTGTACTCTGCCATTAGTCAAGATCCATCTGCTATCAGCAGTGATATCCCTCATTCCACATCCTTTTCCAAAATTGGCAATTCTCTATTACTGTGCTCCTATATTTTTAAATTATTGCAATTACAATTCATTTCCTATGCATTTTTATTCATTAAAATAATTATTAAATCATGTTTATATTATAACTTTCTCTCATGGTTACCATAATATCATGAAATAAGAAATTATTCAAATATCTTATTTAATTATTTGTATATTTATATTTTACTTAAAAATGCCAGCATGGTTTAGTATTTATACTTGCATGCAACAAGTTGACAAAAATAGTAGAAGTTCCCTTTATTTAAAAGAAGCAAAGTTTTCATGATTTTTTTCATGAAAATTATTTGGTTCAAAAAATTGTTTTGAAAGTGGTTAATATTATTTCTTTATCCATGGTTCTTCTATTTTAATTCGTTCATTGGCCTTGATTTTCTTCTTACTGAAGTAAATGCTTCGGTAGTTTATTCAGCCCTTTCTATCTTGGATTTTGAAAATACTTTTACTTGTGCTTATTCTTGAATGACAGTTCATTTGGCCATAGAAATCTATGGCAGTATTAAATACTCAGCATTTTGGAGTTGGCTGCTATCAATCTAAATTTCAAACATTTGGTAAATCACGTGCTTTTACATTTGGATAGCATTGGATAGCATTGGATAGCATTTAAAATTTGTTTCTTTGACATTCTGTACTTTATGATGTCTGTTAGTTGATTTCTTTTTATTTATCCTTTATAGGACTTGATACAGTCCTTCATGTGGAGTGCCCATATCCCTCTTCTAATCTGAAAATTTCTTAGCAAATATCTCTTCAAGTATTTCCATTCTCCCATTATTCTCAAATATGGTCTCTTCTTGGAGAACTTCCAGTAAACATATGCTAAACGTCTCATGCCAACCGCTATTTCTCTTAAGCCCCCTTTGTATTTTATCTCTTGCAGGTGATTTCACAAGCAAGCATGACAGATTACTAATTTTTTCTTCAACTATATATTACTATATTTAGCATAGTGATTCAATTTTAAATATTAATGAGTATTTTCCATTCTGAATTTCTATTTGGTTCTTTTTCAAACGGTGTCTTTTCATATCTGTAACTCCTTTTCACTCTGTAAACATTTTAGACATATATATATTTTATAGTTCTTTTACAGTTTCTGATTTTATTCTCCATTGCAAAATCTTCTATTGAGTATATATTTGACTCTCATTATTTTCCACAGAGTTTTGTTTTTACTGATTTTTTGTGTTTCTTGGTATTTATTGTTTATTGTTATTATTCATTTTTCTTTTTAAATTTTGAGCTCATCTTCAGTTGCAGTAATTTTATTGATTTATATAGACGCTGCCAACGTCTTTGCTCATAATACCATCACTGCAATGTTTTCATATTGGCCTCGATGGGGCCCTTGAAGTTTCACTGGCTTCAGACCAGCTTGCATTTCATTTCCCATGCTTATTTTCCTAAAATTCAAGCATTCAGATTCTCATACATTCGAGTTTCACCAACTTAGATTCTGAATGTTTTATATCCTATACTTCTTGATTAATAGTTGGCAATATAAAAAAGATATTAACTTGACATTATTGACTATGAAAAGGCATTCCGCTCTGTGGATCATAAAATATTATGGATCACATTGTGAAGGTTGGAAATTTCAGGGAAATGCCATTTTCTTTTGAGGAAAGGGAAGTGCATAGTCTCTCCCATGTTCATAGCAGCACGGTTCACAATAGTGAGAAGCTGGAAGCAGCCCAGATGCCCCTCAGGAGAAGAATGGATAAATGATGGTACATACACACAATGGAATACTATGCATCCCTAAAACATGGTGATGAAATCATGAAACATCACATGACAATGAAGGACTTATAAACCATTATGTTTAGTGAAGTTAATCAATCACAAAAGGATGAATATTGTGAATCATATTTTAAGGAATCCTTTTGTATAAGGAGAAACACTAATTAAACAAATATTAGAGACCAATTCCCAAGCAAACGAAGGAAAATGGCATTAGGATCGGAGGAAGTCTCATTAACAACCTACGGTACACAAATCTCACAACCTTTTGGTAGGTATGATGGGTAAATGGAGAGGAACAATCTCACATCAGGAAGAGATGCTAAACGATAATTGTAGAGAATCTAAGGGGAGAATAAACCTGGTTATATGTTCCTGGGTAGACACTTCCAATCTGTTTCTACCCAACTCTCAACCATGCCACAGACTAAGCAAGCACTGTGATAACTTTCAACACTAGCCTTACAGGGAATATGGCATCCTCCAAGGGTCACACCAGGAGAACTCAACATGGAAGCCAGACTGAACAAAACTCACATCTACCTTTTCCCTTTCACTGAGGACTGAAATACCCTGATTGGAGAGATAGCAAAGGATGGCCACCCCAAGACTTTAGAAATGGTGGCTGTTGGAACTTAGTTGGGACCCCTGGCATAGTGGGCGTCCAATGAAAGGGGACCAAGAACCACCATATAACTAGTTCCTCAATGCTCCCCTTGCATTAATATGACAGGTAATAATCTGATAGGCAAGGATCTGCACTCATAAGAAATGATACAGGAAAATTTCCCCTAGCACCAATCCCAATGTTCACTGTAAACAGAACTCAATCAATTAAAAAATCAATCTGAACAAAGCAACAACTTATGCATTGTAGTTCAGAGCTAGACTATACTTGCATAAACTCTTCATATCAACAATACTTTAAATTCTATGCCACTGGATGAATTATTGATGTTATCAATGCAATTGTCTTGCAATACTCCGGGGCAGTGATAACAATATTCTTCTTTTTCATTTCCTTGATTTTTGGTTTTATGGTTTTGGTTTGTTGTTATTCTTCTTGGTTTTTGTTTTTGTCATTATATGACCACTGAAGCAAACCAGGGTTCTTCATAACCTGTGAACAAACAGATGGATTCTGGGTTCCCAGTTACTTCTAGCTCCAATCCAAGAATAGTTAGTCCTTATAAAATGTGCCTGCTCAGTACTCACTTTAATGAAATGATCAATGGAGATAAGAGTGCTACAGCAAAGTGTGGTGAAGAAAGCAGATGGTGCTCGGCTATCAATTGGAATAGTGTCTGGGGTCTTTAAGGCTTGTATTCAAAGAAGCAGCCATCTAACTGAAGCATCAACTAAGTCCACAGCATAGAAGACACCATATTTTGTGATGCAAAGATGAAAACAAAATCCAAATATGAAGAAAGGAAAATTAACAGTGTTTTTAAGTTGTGAACATCAATTTTGCAGAAGGCTATGGAGGCCAGAGGGAATGCAAACTGCACCTGCACAGCATCTAGTCAGATGAAGCCTCTGGCAGATCCCCTCTGCCAGGAACTCAGTTTTACTCTCAGACAGAGCTTATTATAAACTTGATTATGGTGGATCGAACCAGGGTATTAC